GGTTTAGGTTGGACATTAGGAAAAGGTTCTTCACCCAGAGGGTGGTGGAGCACTGGAACAGGCTCCCCAGGGAGGTAGTCATGGCACCAAGCCTGACAACATTTAAGAAGCATTTGGACAATGTCCTCAGATATGTGCTGTGAATTTTGGGGTTGTCCTATGCAGGGACAGGAGTTGGACTCAATGATCCTTGTGGGTCCCTTCCTACTCAGGACATTCCATGATTCTATGATTACCATCCCAGAGCCATGATGTGGAGCTGGGATGGCCTGACAACAGGCCTGATGTCAAGGGAGCAGGAGGCAAGGCTCAGCTGAGGGAGCTGAGACAGGTGGAGAGCAATGTCCTGGTAAATGCACCATGGAAAGAACATAGCCACAAAGGAGAAGACTCCCTGTGCATGAGTTACGCATTGTACAGCAATGAGACAACAGAAGCAAGGCTTGTTGAAATCTTTCTGAAAAAACAGTTTGGCAATGCCCAAACAGTACACAACAGTACTGGGTTCTGTGCAGAGGCAGCAACCATCTGGAGGCCAGACCAGGAGTGACCCAAGTCCATGTCCACCACATAGGCAGGTGTCCCTGGACACTGTGAACTCAATGCTCTTAGCCTTGAGGGGTGCTGCTTCCTTCCACTGTTGGAGTTACGTGCCCAAAGAAGGGGACAGTTCTCAACTGCATCATACTGTACAGGTTGGATCCTGAATAAATCCAGGCCACCAGTCTCTGAACACCCTCAAGGAGAAAGCTTCACATAAAATTACCCGAATTTTAAAAAGACATACACAAACTCAGTAATGCCATATAAGTCCACTGTAAACACTAAGACTGTACAGGATGAAAAGGGATGAAAAGTAGGTGAAATTTAAAACTCTCGAGATGGATGAATGTTTCTGATGTTTTTTTCAATCTAAAAGTGCACCTTCATTTTAAGTATCTTAAAAGAACAGATTTCAGGAGAGTGTTAATAAGAGAGTTGTGCCTAAATTAGAACAGAATATGCATGTTGTGATCAGTACACAGCTCTCCAGTTTCAAAGCAACTCTGAATAATTGAACACTTTAATCGAAATGGTAACTGACAGCTCACTAGAATGATACGACCCAGACAGAAGCATTCTTCCTTCTGCTCAGGATTAATTGTGGCCCCCTGTTAGCACCAAATGTTATTTATCTGCTACGCGTGTGGAGTCCTACAGTTGTCCACTGTACGCAGTCCATGTAGACCAACAAATCTTGTTCCGTCAGCAGGAGGAAACAGAGATCTGCTGCGTTCCAGCTCACTCTAATTTCCAAGAGACCTGGAGAATCTGAAACCTCAGCCTAAGTCGCCATTTTAGACACTTCAAATATTAAAGACTATTCATTTAGGAGCCACCAGGTGATGGAGCCTCCGGCTGTAGGCAAATATTAAAACGCACAAATAAATAAGCAACAGTATTCCATTCATTTTCCCCATAATGAGCTTTCTAAATAACAGGAAATTACTTCAGTTTCTTATTCCAACCTCCCTGTTCTTTTTGACCCACTGCAATAAAAAGAAGTATAGAGTCCAAATACTGGCAAAATATTTAGAAATGGGATTTGGCTTCCATTTGTCCAGGGCTGTTGTCTAAAATAGTGTCTGTCTTTGTCCCTTTAGGTCTGTGTTCCACTCCCTCTGATGAGAAGCCTGATCCAAGGTCTCACAAGGCTGGGGAACACCTACTACATATCAAAAACTGGGTTCCTTTGGTCTAAAAGCTGTGGATGGAAAGATAGAGTGCGTGTGCTGAGGGGCAGTTACTCCCTGTCTCAGAACAGAAATAGCCCTTGAGCAACAAGAACAACATGTACTGAAGATTTACTGGTATGTGTGAAAACTCTCAGTTAAAGACTGCTTTTACTTACAATGAATTTCCTGACACAGTGTCTGCTGTTGTCTTAACTCTGGACATTTTCATCAGATACTCACCTCACTCAATAATCACCTACTTGCAGAGGAGATGCTGATTCTTCCTAGCACCATGTCTTTACCTTCTGCTGTGTTATCTGTTCTTAAAAAAACATTCTTGCACCTGCTGGTCTTCAAAGGAATGAGATCCTGTGGTTTTAAATTCCCAGTCTATGTTTTTTAGTAAGTAAGAGTCATCAGTTCACCTGGGGAGATCCTTTCTCTTTGCCACTCCCCAAAAGAGGGTGGAGAAGGTAAAATAAAAAGAAGATTCATGGATTTATTCAAAGTCAATGCAGGGCTGGGTGGTCAGTCCCCACAAGTCTCATATTTTTAGCTCCTTTGGCTGCTTAGTTAACTTCTAATTTGCTCTGTTTCCCAGGAATGACATCAGAGAGGAGAATTTTTAGTAGCTGCTGAAATTAAGTGTCTTAACAGAAATAAACCCACAGAGTTTAGTTTGTGGAGTGCTGGCTGCTCAGCCTCCTGAGAGGGCAGCTGAGTGAAACTTCAGCGAAGCTCCAGGGACTGACTACATCATTTATTCTGCACAGGATAGATCTAAGGTGCAGTTAAGCTCCTTTGGAGTAAACTAGCTTAAACTAGTAAGTTGAAAGTCACTGCAACTGTCAAGGCCAAAATGGGACATACATGGACAATGTAATTTTACTGGGGACTGAAGGGGAAAAAAAGAGGCTTGCAACTGGTTGGTGCAACGTGTGCCTGTGAGCAGGAGCAAAGAGAAAGTAACACTTAGCCACCTTTCCCTAAGAGAATAAGCCATAGGGAGGGTTTTATGTACAGGAGGCTGGCTAAAAACAGACCTCAGACTGTGAGCAGAGGGAATAGTTCTGCGTTTGGATGAGCACGGAATACGTGAAATGTACGTATCTGTAAATCTGTACACTTGCATCAAAAAAAGTATTCTTATTAATTTATTCTTCTAATAGACAAAAGCCTCTGATGTTAATTAACTGCTTGTCTTAAAGGGTTAAAAACACTGCATCTGAGAAGGATGATACATAAAGCAATTGAAGCTTTACTTTTGGTGAAATCTATGAGATTTCTCCTCTAATTGATAAACATAAACCATTTCAATTTTATTTTGTTCATAACATTGAAGACAATCTTTTTTGTGCTTCTAGTGTTTAAGTTCTGAGCATGCGGGGACAGAATTTCAGCTAGATGCCCAAGGACTTAACTACATAATTCCCATTACAGTTAATTAAATAAAATGATAATGACTATAATTAAAACCCAGGGATTTATCCTATAAAGTAATTTAAAGGGACTGATGGATGGAAGGCACTATACCATTTTAATCAAATTACCGTTGACTCACTTTGAGTGAAGGTTATATAACCAGAAACGTGATTGCAAGCGGATCCAGAATAAATACCGCTTAATATTAAAGACGTACAAAGTATCGAAGAAACAAGTCTCCTCTCAAAACAAAACGTACCAAAAAATAGGGAAGCATATTCTCCCAAGTTTTAATGTACTTACCACGCAGCTGAAGTTTGGAATAGTTGCATATTTGTAAGAGTAAGGGTACAGCAGCATCTGTGCATAGGCATGGAAGGACAAATAGGCCTTTATTTCTTTCCGGTGTTTGCGGAGAAAATGAGCAACAGCCTTCACTTCAGGCTCAGACTCAGGAAAGGGACCACAGTAGGTGTCATCGCACGGGTGAAATGAAGCACCTTCATCTAGAGATTGAAGGAGAAAGTTGATGGTGAATGATCACAGAGCATTTCCAAGGGTCAGCTTCTGGCTCAGCCTGTGTGGGCCCACGTGCAAAAGTGTGGAAAGCAATAAACAAATTGCTTTCTTGTGACTGATGGGCATGAGCCAGTGGGACCTCAGTACAGCAATCTGCTTGTTCATCTAGTAGACACACCGAGTTGCCAATTGGCCAACCACACACAGTTCTCCCCAAAGGACATATTTTTAACCGAACAGAAAAAGGAGAGCCTGACTTCATTGTGTTTTCTTCCCTGGCTTTTCATATGAGCGGCACATTTTATGATAGCATTCCAATATTAAAACCATTGAAGTGTCTCAGTTGGTCTATTTGAAATCAGAGAGCTATACCTCTTTCACTAGTCACTGCCAAGACAAGTCTAGCCTTCAAGAGCATTTTAACGTACTAGCTCCTACAGTGGTGGTTACAATGGTAGGTAGATAACCTCAACAGGCATTATCTTAGAGACTGCTTTAAAACATGAGAATAGCTCCTGACTACTGCCTCTTTTTACTTCTGCAAACCTTATGGGAAAAAAATGACAAGCCACATGGGATGATTGCTCAGTTAGCTAAAATAGAAATCATCTCAGTTTGCACAGGGCTTAATTTTCCTTCAAGTTTGGGGCAGGGGTTCAGTTATGAGGATATCTTTCACCACGTCAACCTGGTCAGGTGGCAGTAAGCTGCAGAAGTATAGCCTGCCTGTAATATCCCATGAAGTACTGAAAGATGAAACGCAGAAAAGGAGATGTGGCAGTGGCTCCTTTATCATTTAGCAATTCTGGATCTAAGCCACCGTCTCATTTACAGCTTAGGGCCTGGGCCTAAAAGAACAATCTTTATGCAAAGCCACTCTGCTCTTTTATCCACTGTGATTTCAAAATGCCACATGTTTTACACTGACCCGCAGAATAATAATAGTTTTTTTGCGACATTCCCTGGTGTCATCAGGGATGTACAAAAGCAGTGATTTATTAGCTTTCCTTTGTATAGCAAGTACTGCCATCTTCAAACAATAGGAAAAGAGCAGTGTGTGAGAAGGCATAATAATATGAACTAAAACAGGGTTATGCAATCAACCGAATGCCAACAAAATTAAAAACTGGAAGCATTTCATGGTGCAGCTTCATTTGTAATATGAAAATTGAGGCTACCATTCAATGGCCACAGGTGGGGATTTCAAAAGGTATTAGTGCTTAGATTGTGGTGGATATGGAAGGGCTATATAGAAGGCAGAAGGTCTCCTCCCTGCAGAACAGATGGCCACCAAGTCATCCAAATCCCAAGAGCACTCTGCCTTGATGTCTTGTCAGATAATATAGCTAAAGGAGAGCTATTGAACAGACCCTCTGGAGCCTTTGCTTTTTTTTATGGATACTTCATCTCCTGTAACAGTGTTGTATACTGAATCATGAAAATGGACTTCACGTAATAAACAGCAGAATCCTACAAGCTAATGGCAAAATGACCCAATGGTAAAGTAAGATTCAGTTTAGTGACTTTCAGTGAAGAAAAAACTCTCTAAACTGCCCAGCCTACTTCCATGAGCCATTTGCAGTCCCAGCTGTAGTTAATGCTTTTCCTTAAGAGAAGCTGGCTGCTAGTAAAAAGAGAGGGTTTCCGTGGTGGCCTTGGATAATGTAAGGATATCCTCAATTTTCATACTGGAAGTTCTTTTAAAGTAACACAAGAAAGAAAAAAGTGATACAGTATGTATCAACTCCTGTGAAATTTCTGAGTTACAGTCATGAGAAGAAAATGGAATTGCATAAAATGTTACCGTGCTGCCTTATTTTTGTACCTGATAGCATACTAGGGGAGGACAAGTATCCTCCAACATCTATCATGAGATCGAAGGTACAACGGAAATGTGTACAGAGACTGATAAAACCAATGCCTTGGTACAGAAGGAAGACAGGGAGGATGGACAAGCTGGAGCATGCTTCTCAAACTTCCTTGCAGCCACTTCTTCTGCCAGTATAGGGTACTGTTCTCAGTGAGCAATGGGGTGCACTGGAAACTGGGATGCACTGGAAATTTTAACTCCCACTGCGCTCTCTTGGGGGCTTCAGATGCAACCCCTTTAACTGGATTTGCCCTATGACATAATTTAGTTCTACGTACCTCATTATTGGCTTTAAAGTTGCTATTTATTTCATGAACGTTAAACCATTATGCTAGTTATCGCACATATATATATATTTCAAGGAGCATTTCTACCCAGAGATCTTGCTGTCTGTATTCACCTGGGTCTGTGTGCAATTTCTGTGCACTATTTTGGGTACAGGGCGCTGCAAAGTGAAATCTACCACAATCAGTGACACAGCCCTTTTTTTGGTCCCTAGAGAATACAGAAGCAACATCATAAAGCTTACATCAAAGTCCTAGACTAGAAGGGAAGAGGAAAGCAGAAGGGATGCTGTGTTATCTTTACCAAGTAGCTCACTGCAGCTAGCATCCAGCGGCTTTGCTGGGGCCGGATTCTGCCCCAACACACCTGCCTGGAAGCCCCACAGTGAAGTTCAAGCCTGTCTGCAAACTGTAAATGCGACTGAACTGAATTAAAAGGTTTTTGCAAGCATACGCAGTCTTAAATGTTAAACACACCATGATTATACAAGCCTCAAAGTGTGATATGATCCAGATTCTTCTCTGCCTCATTTAGTGTCAGATTAATGAGAACATAGGGCACCAGGTGAGGATCTTCTAAACACCAGTCAGCCCGGTTCATGAAAGAGCTCTCTATTCTCTGGCAAAATAGAGAATCAGACAGGGTTTGGGGTCCGCTGTGGGAAGCAGAGCATGTGCTTGGTGGGATGATGAGCAACCTGGAAGGACTTTTTATTTTTTAAACTCGGGGTGGGGACTTGTCTTTCATGTTCAGTGCAGGGGAGAAATGCAACAAGTAGAGGATTCCAACACACAGCGCGGGTGTGTATTGTTATAGTTTCACTCAGTCTAGAAAAAATGTTTTTTACTGAAGAAACTGAAGAAAATTTTCAGGACTGAGTAAAAAGTGTGCTTTAAGGCAGTGGCTAGGGAGTAGGAAGAGGGAAGAGCAGAGTGATCTGAACCCAAGAAAGATTAATTAAGTCTAGAAAAAAAATGTACTGTGTGAGTTTTAACGTTGCACTGATAGGTACCTATAATATGGCTCTGAAGAGTTTGTAAGAGACCTGTTCATTCCAGCTATGCCAGTGGCTGTCTTCTGAACAGTAAATATATGTTGCCAAAATACCTGCAGTTTTGACTTATGCACTTAAGTACAAGATGGTAACAGTGATGCAGGACTTTTTGGTTCACTTGTGCATTATTTTTTCCACATAAAACTGCCTTAAGGATCGTGATAGCAGCCCTGGGACTGTCTTCTGTAGTGGAGGGATTCTCAGCTAACATAGGCTTTCTGTAACTGCTTCTGTGTCAGTCCTCTCCTTACTGCAAGTAGAGTCGAAAAAAATTGGAAGCATATTTCACAGGTCCATACTGTATTGAATGTATGCTTCTGCTCACTCTCACCTCATCTGTAATCTCCCCAGGCAGATTATTCACACTCACTTTTATCCTTACAGTTCTCAGAAATCTACTTAGAGAATCCAGTCGCTGCAAGCCAGGCTGTACAGTGCTTACTCCTACTGCAAGTCATCAGACTATCGTGGAAGCAATAGAGAGAATTCCAGTGGAACAGGGATGGGCCGAAGGGAGGGCTGTTGTGCTAGCGTTACGCAAACACAACTTCTGTCTTTACAATTTTATAATGTAAATAAGGAAGGTGGGTGAATGCTGGAGGAGAAAATAGCTGCGCAGAGAGGTGAAGGAAGTTGCTCAAGATGGGAGAGCAGGTCAGCAGAAGAACCAGGTATGTATCGCCGTATTTCACAACAAAGTGCTATTACTTTCTGCTGCACCAGAACTTGTATGGCTGCTTACTCCTTTGTGAGTCGCACTGTCTTGCTGTAAGATTTAATAAAATACCATTTCTTCTTCAGTGAACCCATTCCAAATCTTGTGCTAGTATTTCATTACTGCTGCATTCTCCATGCAAAATTGAGGTCAATTTTTATGAAAGTATTTACAGGAGTGCTGGGAGTTTAAAATTGGATCTCCATGCCTTTAGAAGCACCTTCTTTCTTTATTAAATCACAAATAATAATGGCCTTACAATATTCTCAGACATTTCTCTGTGAGGCCAACAAAGCAAGTTTGACATTTCCAAAGATAAAGCCATTTCAGAGAAATGAAAAAAATAATCAAAATGAAGTTTGAAATGTTTCCTAAAGCTGTAGTCAGGTAAATTCTGAAATGTGATGGGCCAGGCTCAATACTGTGCTTCGAATTCTTTACATGATTGCAGAAATACAGAATAGTTGTGTGTGTGGTTTTTCACTTTTCCCACACTCGCCATGAAAACTTTTTACTTGTGATGAGATGTGTTTTTCCAAAGTTCAGGACTTTTATTTTTTCAGAAGCTAGAAGGAAGATTTGAGCCCTGGCTTGTGGCTTTATGGGAAAGTAGCTTCAACTTTAACTATGGAAAAGAGAACACAACGGATGTGACCTAGCCTACTTACTCTGTTGGATAATTAAATATGGGGTAATCTGAACTGGTGGACCAAAGTATCTCCAGACTTACCACACCATTTCACTTTCCAGTTGCGATTAGCATCAACACCATGACACCGAAACCTTGTGTTCTTTGATCTTGTTTTTCTCCAAAATCGATCCTAACATAAGTTATAAAATAGTTAAATAGCAATATTACTATATTTTGGCAAAAATCTATTTGTACACATAACAAACTAACCCTGGTAAACATATTCAGTATTATATTTTAACTGGAGTAATTTACTTCCATTTTGCACGCCACAAAGTGATGGACCAGATTATACAGAAAGTCACCTTTGAATGATGTAACGACCATTCGATCTTTCCCATCTGAACAATTTTTTGAGTAATACTACTGATACTACTTACATTTGTCCAGCTAAAATGATATCCATCCACATTAAATACAGGCATGACATAGAAATACAGCTGAGTTAGCATCTTTCTCATGGCAGGATCGGTCTGGTATGTCTGAAGAGCCTAAAGCAGAAAAGCCAAAGAAAGTAGTTTCCGTAACAAAAATAATTTCCTAAGGCTAAGACAGTCACGTGGCCTTTGGCAGTACAGAGACCTGATCTTACGGCACCACTGGCATCCTTAGAGCTGTACCTGAAAGGTTGACATCTTCCTGCAAACACGATGAAAGGCAGCATGCGAACATGTGAAAAAGGTGTTCAAAAGGCCCTATTCTCTCTGGTTCTCAGTTGCTTTCAATACCCAAGAAAATACGACTCACGTTACAGAGAAGCAAATGCATACAAAGTGTTTCTTGACGTAGGAGCTGAAAGTCAGCGGAATAGATTCTGAGTTGAGGAAATGAGTTTAGCTCCTGTAAGACAATGGAGTGCTGTTGTTTCCACCAGGTGATGATTTGGTGAGGTCAGAGCATGTCTTAAAGCGTTTAAGGCTCTCATTACATAAGCTTTTGTTGTATGCAAAGTAACTTACTACATGCACAATCATCAATACAGGCAGCTTATTCCTTTATAGTTTAGAAAACCCTCTGCTTTTGGAGAACCTCAAGTGTAAAAGTTAGTAGAGGAA